ATATAGAAAATTATTCAATACATCCAAGGTAACAACAATTCCACTTTCTACAAACCAATATTTTCTTTAATCCTCAAACCTAGATATTATAAATTCAATTTCTTTTTCATGCAAAAAGTCTATAAGTGGTTTCCAATCTTTAGTAAATATTGATAATGATTTTTCTCTGATTAAACACATTAATTTTGCCATCTCAGCGAAGTCCAGTAATTTTAGCAATTCCTCCCTGGTAGGTAATGATGAATCTTTCCATCTTTGTGCATATAAAAGTCTCGCCACTGTGATCATGTATTGAAATAATTATCCATAGTCTTTTTCTAATTGTTATCCATTATTCCTAGCAGGAAAGGTTCTGGCTTCAATTGAATGTAAAACTTTAAAATCTTCTGCATCAATGTATGTATTTGTAGCCAATATTTCTCGGCTTTTCTACAAGTCCACCAAGCATGATAAAATGTCCTCTCACATTTTTGCACACTTCCAGCAAACATTTGGGACACCTTTATAAATTTTAAATAATTTCACTGGAGTTAGATACCAGCGAGAAATCATTTTATTTTTAAAAAATCTTTAAATAAACACAGTGCAAATTTTAGCCCTGAATCTCATGGCAGTTTAAAAGACAAATTAATTTATCACTGCATAAGCTTTTGTGAACTACAGTTACTTCAATAGATGTATGAAGGGTTATCCTGACTTGCTGGTATATACATGGTTGGGGAGTAGAGAGAATATTATATAGTGGGATTACTTTTTTAAAAAGTTATATTTGTTAATTGGCTTACCAATGTCAGGATGTCTATGTTATCAACCACTTTTTTGGGTGAATGGCCACTGTTAATAATGAAATTATCATAATCTGTACTTTTCTGCATTTCATTTTCTTCAGACCTGATTGTTTACAATCCTCTAACCTTCAATCTAACCAAAAGGGATGCAGGTGGCGCTGTGGGTTAAACCACATAGCCTTGGACTTGCTGATCAGAAGGTTGGCAGTTCGAATCCCTGCGACGGGGTGAGCTCCCGTTGCTCGGTCCCTGCTCCTGCCAACCTTGCAGTTCGAAAGCACGTCAAAGTCCAAGTAGATAAATAGGTACCGCTTCGGTGGGAAGGTAAACGGCGTTTCCGTGCACTGCTCTGGTTCGCCAGAAGCAGCTTAGTCATGCTGGCCACATGACCCGGAAGCTGTCTGCGGACAAACGCCGGCTCCTTCGGTCAATAAAGCGAGATGAGCGCCGCAACCCCAGAGTCGGCCACGACTGGACCTAATGGTCAGGGGTCCCTTTACCTTTACCTTTAACCTTCAATCTGCAACTCAGGATAACACTTCATGCATCTAGTGAAGTGCCGCTGAATTTCCTGGGGCCAATATATAGTATATGGATCAGGCCATCTGCTGTACTTACAAAAGAATACGTAATTTTACATTAAAGTTGTATACCCTTTGTCATATGCAAATTTATGCCTTCAATGGGGGTAGAGGATCCAAAAGTAAATCACGTCACAAACAATTAGACAGACAGACAGACTGTGAATAGTTGAAGCTTTCCCCATCACTGGATTTCCACACTAGAAAAACCTACCTGTTTGATTTCTGCCTGCCACACAGCACTGCTCTCCCCCACTGCCAACTATGCAAAGAACTCAAATTAAGAGCAGAAGCAAAAAAGCAAAAAAAAATGGGCACCTTATTTTTTTTTTAAATGAATACCTGTGACTAAGGCAATGAGACACTAGAATTAAAAAAAACCCACAAAAGAAAGCAAGCACCTCCCCACCCTTCATGCTTGATTTATTGCTGCATTCCACTCCTGCCACTTTAAAGCAAAAGACAAACACAAACCTGTTTGCCAACCTTGGTAAACAGCAACTAAACTACTCGAAGTGTGTGCAGTTTCGCATTTTAAAACCGCTTTTCTCATCATTGGTCCCTTTTCAAAATTGTTTGGTCAGGTGAGATTTATGCTGCAGCACTGGCTCTGTATGAGGTCAGAATTCCCCAAATGCCAGGTTGCTATACATTTATGTGGGATATAATGAAGGTGTCCCTGTTCCAGTTGATTTTAGGAATAACACAACCAAAATGATTAACAAAGCAGGGGGGCGCTGTATTCTAGGTGAAGCATTTGAACTGATACCACTCCTTAAAATATTTGACCCCTAGTTGTCCTAGCTGGATTTCATGCTTTGAGACTAACCAGGTTAGCAGCAGCTGCTCCCACCGCTAGGTATGGAAGAAATTGCCATGTTTTGGTTGCACCTTGCAAGTCATTGCATCTTTATTTGTGTAAGTTCTTATAATGACCAGCTTGAAGGAACGGGTGAGGTGGGTGGGCGAGTGGCGGCTGGTTTCTCAGTCAGGCCAGTGCAGTAGTAAGCCCTGCTACTCCAGGGGTGGCGAACCTTCTTGAATCCAAAGGCTGCATTTCCTTCTGCACACTCTTCTGGGGGCCGCATGCCAGTAGTAGGCGGAGCCCTGAGGTTAAAGTAAGCAGGGCAACAAATGCAACATTTATCTTTGCATACTGTCCAACTTTTGGAGACCCCAAACCAGGACATGCCTCTTCCGGGACGTGTGCCCGGGTGAGTCACATGACCCGTGCCATGCTTTCTTTGGGGCAAGAGTGCAGTGCAACAGCGAGCAAGAGTGCGACACCCAAAATGGCCACCGCGATCTCACACAAAAAAACAGGATGTCTTGGTTTTTTGCACAAACCTATATATTCTCCAACTAGACAGGCAAGAGGCATTCTCAGAATTCAAGGACACCTTCCAACCAGGCAAAATCATGTGCTGTATGTTAAAGGGGTAACCGCCCACACACTTCCGCTGCGCTTTCTGCCTGTGTGGTGGCACCTTTGGTAAAACTACTTCTTACTGTTTGTAGCAGAGTTTTCCCCCGGAGGCAGAGGACAAGAACAGGAGTCACACTCAAATTCTTCAGTCAAGAGCTTTTTTATTGCTTGACCGGTTGCACAAGCATTTCTGTTACAAGCTATTTACAGTCCTTCTTTATCTCTCCACCATGGTATAATCTCAGCGTGTGTGTGTGTGTGTGTGTGTGTGTGTGTGTGTGTGCTTTCCTCGTGAGGAAATTGCAGCCTGCAACTTCCTCCCTTTATTTGCACCTCCAGCTGACACCAATCAAGCCTAGAGTGCCACTCCTACACACTAAAGACAGTGGTGGCCAAACTCAGCCCTCCATAACAGAATGAATCAAAGCCAGTGAGGGGCATGGCCTGGGGAGAGTTCCCAGGGCCAGACAGAGAAGCCCGGAGGACCATATCTGCCCATCTCTGCTGCTCCATTTCTCCCTCTGGTGCAGCTGGATGGAATGGCTGATACTAGATGACAGTTGAGAGAAGGAAAGAGACGAAAGGCAGCAAAAGGTGTGATTTCCACCATCCCACCTCTCCCTTTTATCTGGTCCCACGTTGATTCTGGTTGTGCAGCTGCTGCTTCTTTTCGGCAGTGGTTTGTGTTTCCAATATTTCAGTTGCTTAATTTTTTTAAATGGCATGCACTTCTTTTTATGGCTTACATCGCTCTGGATACTTTCTTAGAAAAGTGACTCATAAATAGTTTACATAAAATAAGAATGCATATGTAAACACACCCACCCACCCCCGGCGATGGCAAGATGGGCAGGGTGTGTGTGCGCACAGGATGACTTGCAGAGTCCTCTCCTGTGGCCTGTGGTGGAGAGGAGGGCTGCTGGTGGGAGGGCACTCAGCCACAGCAAAATCTTCAGCAGCAGGAGGTAAGCTTCTGTTGGCAACACTGCCACCGGCAGAAGGCAATAGAGAGCTCTGAAATGGGGGCTCTTTGAAGTGGAATGCAGGATGCTGGTGGTTTGGCATCTCTCTGCTGGATCCAAAGCCCCACAGATCCCTTGAGAGGCCTGATCATCAGGCCCCTCAGCTGTGTGAGCTTAGAGCTGGTGCAACAAAAGAGAGTTGGGGTGGGGGAGAGAAACTGCCTGCCCACCTCCTTCCACTCTGACCAGGATGAGTAACAAGGTTTGGTGTGTGGCAATCAATCTGCTGCTTTGTTGCTCTCCACCCAGGCTTTGGATTGCTCTGTAATTATTATTTTTTTAACTGGCATTAGTGATTTGAGAAATTGTGCCATGCCATTATGGTTCAGATCTGTTCCAAAATCCATATCGTCACCTGCACAATCGTATTTCAATCAAATGCTAGCATGTGCTACTGTGCTTGCTTATAATTAATAGGCACTGGCTGTGGTTCAATGAGTGCCTTTGATCATAAACTACTAGTTGTCTTTCAAGCCATTCAGAAGATTCCCATAGCCCCTGGATTGGTTCTAATCCACCGTTTTGCAATCACTGGGCTGGATGACCTTTTAAAACAGACCATCCCAGACCAAGTATGTGATGATTCTGCGTTCTCTGGAGAAAGAGTGTAGATAATTGGGGCCCTTGTAAAGGAACACAGGTTTGTCGAAATAGTCATTTAAAAAGTAGGAAGTTTTCAAGGGGGAGGAGTATAATAGAATAGAAACACGAAGGGATTTTTACATTGGCTCAGAGTGGGGAAACTTTGCCAACCCAAGGGCCACCTTCCTTTCTGAGGGCCACATGCCAGTGTGGGGTGGGGACAGGGCCAAAAGTGGGTGAGACAACAAAGGTAAATTTTATCTTTGTACAGTAGGCTGGTCTCTACACACACGTGCGTGCACCCCTCTTTATCACCCATCCAGTCATGCAAGAGGCATTATCAGAATTCAAGGACACATTCCAGCTGGGCAAAAATACTCAAGAAGGGTGCAAAGCCGGATTGTGGAGACTTGTGGCCTGGGGAGAGGGTGGATGGCTTCAGGAGATCCCGAAGGACTAAAGAGAGAGATGGGGGGGGGGTTGAATTTGGCTACTGGGTCTGTGTTTCCCCACCCCTGCTGCAAAGAGTTTAATGAGTCTCTTGCCTCCTCTTGGCCTGACCATTTCTTTTGTCCTTTCTGTCCTTTCTGTGCCCTTCTAGCTTTTCTGAGTCAAGAGGACTCTCCGTGGCATCTGAAAGCGAAGGACCTCAGCCTACAGGACCATTTGACACTGGAAGAGGCCTCCTTTGCACTCAGTACAGAATGGAGGAGGTCGCTGGTGGGTCTCGCTCCGCTCAGAGCAGGTCAGGGGGATCCACTGCAACTGCCTCGCTCAGAAGGAAGACAACACCTTCTGATCTACTGAAGGAAGAGACCAAACCTTCCTTTGGCAAAGTCTCAGCTGTGACACAGATGCTGGAGAGAGGAAGTACCAGAACCAGAGGCAACAGCCCCTCCAGAGTGTCCGTGTTGCTCGAGGCCTGGGAGAAAGGGCTTGTAGGCACGGGCACCATTGGCCCATCTTCCTCAACAGGCATCAGGGACTCCCGTTCCCCCGTACCCACCAGGCGCAGCTTTTCAGCCAAAGATGCTCCCCACCCACTTTTCTCAGAAAATACCAGGAGTTCTCTTTCTCCCACAAATGCCAGGCAGCCCATTTCTCCAGCAGGTAGCAGGCGACCCCTTTTTCCAGCTGATACCAGGCGGCCCCTTTCCCCAGCAGATAGCCAGCGGCCCCCTTTTCTAGCAGAGACCAGAAGGTCCCGATCTCCAGCACATACCAGGCTGTCTTCCTCACCAGCAGAGACCAGGAACTCCTTCTCTTCAGCAGAGACCAGGCGGTCCCGATCTCCAGCACATACAAGGAGGTCTTCTTCACCAGCAGAGACCAGGAACTCCTTCTCCTCATCAGAGACCAGGTGGTCCCAATCTCCAGCTGATATAAAGGAGTCACCATCTCTGGCAGACACCAGGAACTCCTTCTCTTCAGCAGAGACCAGGCGATCCCGATCTCCAGCACATACCAGGAGGTCTTCTTCACCAGCAGAGACCAGGAACTCCTTCTCCTCACCAGAGACCAGGCGGTCCCAATCTCCAGCAGATGTAAAGGAGTCACCATCTCTGGCAGACAGCAGGAACTCCTTCTCTTCAGCAGAGACCAGGCGGTCCCGATCTCCAGCACATACCAGGAGGTCTTCTTCACCAGCAGAGACAAGGAACTCCTTCTCCTCACCAGAGACCTGGCGGTCCCATTCTCCAGCAGATATAAAGCAATCTCCAACAGATACCAGGAACCCCTTATCCTCAACAGAGACCAGGCGGTCACATTCTCCAGCACCTACCAGGCAGTCTCCTTCACCAGCAGAGACTAGACGGTCCCATTCTCCAGTAGATATAAGGCGGACTCCATCTCCTGCAGATACCAGACACTCCTTCCCATCAGAGACCAGGCGGTCCCGTTCTCCAGCACATACCAGGCGGTCTCCTTCACCGGCAGATGCCTTGTTGTCCTTCTCAGAGAACAGGCGTTCCCATTCTCCAGCAGATTTAAGGCGTTCTCCTCTAGCAGATACCAGGCTTCCTTTCTCCCCATCACAGACCAGGCGGTCCCGTTCTCCAGCAGATACAAGGTTTTCTTCACCAGCAGAGACCAGGCGTTCCCTTTCGCCTGCAAATAGCAGGACATCTTGCCTCATGACAGATACCCAGGGCTCAGCAAGTTCCCAGCCTTTGCCTCCTCCAGTAGAGAGCCGCTACTCATCTGCTGCGGCAGATGACCATCGCTCCTCTTCCACAGCAGATACACAGTGTTCATCTTCTTTACCAGTCGACAGATACTCATATTCTGTGGCAGATATTAGACGCTTATATTCCTCAGCCGACACCAAGTGTCCGCCTTCCCCAGCAAACACCAGGCACCCAGTTTCTTCGGCAGAAACCAAGCACCCAACTTCTCTGGCAGATGCCAGATACACGTCTTCCTCAGCAGACACCAAGCAGACATTGTGTTCAGCAGAAAACAAGCTCCCAACCTCCCCAGTAGATGGCAAACACACTCCTTGCCCATCAGACGCCAAGTGCCTATCTTCCTCAGCAGAACCCAAGCACTCATTTTCTTCTGCAGAAAGCAAGCGCTCCTCTTCCCCAGCAGGTTCTAGAAGTTTCTCTCCCACACCAGATGGGAAGCCCTCCTGCTCTCCCAGCCCACGGAGAGATTTTACAGCTCACGGTCCTGTGTTTGCTCAGGTGTATACCCCAGCTTCAAAGCCAAAGAGCCTGTCAGGAACAGAGACACAAGATGCTAATAGCACCATAGTAGCTGGATCCCAGGCAGGAAACCACTGCGGTAGTGCTACTAACACCCCTCTGGCATCTAGATTTCAGAGAGAGAGCCTCATATCAAGCACAGATGGCTCTCAGGAGGAACCTCTCCCTGTTATTCCTATCAGCACTGGGGCAATGGAATCCCAGAGGGAAAGCCATGTGCCAAATGGTGCTAGCTCCAGTATAATCACCAGATCCCTGACAGAAAGTGCCCAGCCCAGTGCCATAATACTTAGATCCCAAACAGAAAACTACCAGTCACAAGTTGCCAACACTACTTCTTTAGGTGGATCCCTGGGGGAAAGTTACACGCCCAGGACCACAAGCACTAAACCTCCCAGTGGGCCCTGTGTGCTAAGTCCCTTGCCTTGTGTTGTAAGCTCCAGCACTGTAGCCAAATCTCAAACCCAGTGGTATGGCCCCAATGGCAACAGCATGGTCGTCTTTAGGTCTGAACGACAAGTCATCGTACCCCAAGCTGGAACCACCACTGTCTACAGAGCAGGGCAAGAAATTATCATGTCCAGCTCTGGAACAGGGAGTGCAAGCAAAGCCCTGCAAGGAAAGTCCCTCGTGCCAAGCTCTATCAGCTCCCTGCCGCCAAAAGAAAACTTGCAGTCCCAGAGTGACCTCCCTGATGACAAGTCCCCACAGGGGAGCCCTGCATCCCTTCCAGATAATGTTTGCAACTGCTCCATAGCAGGATCCGAGCAAGAAAGCTGCATGACTCAATCCAGAAGTGCCGGTGTGAGTGACGCCCAAAGGCAAAGGTGTATGCTTCTGCCAAACCCTGCATTCACATCAAATAGAGATGCTACCACACTCAGGGAGGGAGTTGCTCCTTTGAGCACGTCCGAGAGAGACTGCAGCCCGCACGCCAAACCTGCATTCCAGAGGCACAGCAACTTGTTTACATCAAGCAGGTCTGAAAGGGAACAAAGCATGCCTGATCCAGATGGCCCTGTAACAAATGGGTCAGAACAGGAGAACAACCTCTCAAGAGCAAAGAAGGCCAACACGTCTGCATCCCAAGGACTTCGTTGCTCATCGGATGCTGCAGAAGAAACCAACATGCTTAGAACCTCTGCTGAATCCCAGGAATCTGTGACAAGGGAACAAAAATCCACCGTCTGGAATGAGCTAAAAGAAGAACAAGGTTATCCCAGAAAAGATTCCCCTGTGTTTGCACTGGAACCAGCCATTCCCCTTACCGAAACGAACTCCTCCCATGAACCTCCAAGCCAGGAAGCAGGACACAGCAGCAGGACAGCAGAAGAGGAACCTGAAGAAGCTGTGGACATGGAGCTTTTTGTAGACACCCTCCGTAATATGGAGCCCCCTGAACTCCACAAGCCCCTGAAGCTCCTCCCGAGGCCTCCACGTCCTTCCACGTTTGCAAAGCACACATCCCTTCCACCTATCGATGAGGACCACGTCGCTCCCAAGTCAAAGCTTCCTCTCCCAGCAGCAATAGGTGAGCTTTTCGCTCTTACCGAGGAGAGGAACTCAGAGGGAGAAAAAGAAATGGAGGAGGAAGAAGATGAGATGGAGGAAATAGAGAACCCATATCTTACCAAGGATGAAAAGTCATGGGAGAACAGCCAGGCCAGAGAGTCGTACCCTTGGGAAAACAAGACGTTCAAGACCGAGGAGGAGATTGGCTCTTTCCTGGGGAAGTTGCAGGAAGGGGCTGCAGACGCCAAGGCCAAAGCCATCGCTCCTAAAGCTATCGCCAACCAGAGCAACTTAATCAGAGCAAACATTCTCAAAGGGCTTACTCTTTTGTCTGGCTTCTCAGACAAGAAACCTGTGGAAGATAAGCCTTATTCTCGCTTGGACAACAGTCTCCTCTACAGCAGGTTCATCTCCCCAGAGAAATCTCAACAAAAAGTCCAGGAAAGATGGAAAGAAGGAAGAGATTTGCCCACACTCCTGGCTCCGGCTGCCCAAAAAGTCAACAGGGAATGCCAGACGTCTCCAAATGAGCTTCTGCTGAAGGCACCTGAAAATCTGAGTTCTGAATCACTGCCATCTGCGCTGCAAGCTGAGCCTGCCTTTGGGGTGCCAGGTGCAGACAATAGCTCCCAGCAGGTTACTCTTCTGTCCATAGAAACAAGCTCTCTTCCCCAGTCGAAAGCTCAGGTAAGTCAGTCTGCGCTGTGCAGTGAAGGGTTCCTTCCATCCTTCTCTTGCTGGCAACAGCTGCAATAATGTCACAAAGAGATTTTGTTGTTTTAGGGCATTCAGGAAATGTGGACTGTTTGGGGCCCGCGTGGGTGTGTAACAAAAGCGGGGTGCTGTAGCACAATTCATGCCAATGGGTTCTGTTTCTAGAATCTCCACCTTCAACCTGAAGTGGAACTGGTGGTACAACATCCAGTTGATGCTGAGAGGGTTGACAAAACCTGCATTCATAAGGATAATGATTACAGAGCCAAAACCATCAAGGTCTTGACTCAACTGTACAGTTTTTAGTCAAGTCACTGGGTGTTTGCACCTGGATGAAGAGCACAAGAGCTGAAGCTTAATTTGTTGTTGTTGATCTTCCCTAATGGCTGCTACAGAGTCGGTGATGCTCATTAAAGAAATTGAAGGGAAGCAGAGGGGTCCATTTAGGACAGGGATGAAGGCTGCGTAGTTGACAGATCACAATGTTCAAGCTTTTGAGACCTGGGACCCACCTTTAGTTACAACTTGCAATGTGGAGCCCATTTTCATATAGGTCCAATCTTTCCCCCACCTCTCCCTCTCTCCTCTGTCGTTCTCTTTTCCTTCTTTTTATAATTAATGGATTAAAATGCTTATTTTAGTAATCATTTTAAAAATGTTGGTTTAAACACTTAATAAATAAAAACAAAATATACTTATTTTACAACAAAGGGAAAGGGACTGCTGATAATCATATTATTATTCCAAAATAGTTTAAACCATTTCCATTCTTGCTCAAACTTTGGTTGCTTCCATAGGGATGGGTAAATCTGTCGATTTCAGTTTCTCATTTTTCCTAACTTCAGTTCTGTGCATTTCCACATTGGTTTGCCAATTTAAGGAAAAGTTCTCATGAAAATTCATAAGCATTTTAGTGCAAATTTCTTCTAATGCACAGGTTTGTAAACATTTTTGCCCATTTTTCAAAGCAATGTCCCCTAATATAATGCATTTTTTATGTTTCTTTCACTAATATAATGCATTTTCTATGCTGTTGTCACTCAATATATGCATTTTTATGCACACTTTCACCAAGTATATGCATTTTTGTACACATTACTTGGCTGCAGAATTGCATTGAAAAATTTGGAAAAGTGCAAATTTTAAAAGATGACTGTGTTTCATCTGTAGATTCATGACTGTAGATTTGCATTTAAATGTGGATCTAATCAGAGTTTCCCCATGACCCTTACTTCCCAATGATCTGTTTGTTAAGCCCCCATTAAGATTTGTTTGCACAACTTTTGTGGAGAAGTTGGACACAATAAACAATTTACTGAGTGTTCATTATGATTTGCTAGTAGGAAGGTTGGGCAACGTTCTCTCAAACAATTGTTATCCCACACTTTCCGCAGCATTCAACCATCGCTTTCTTTATCTCAAAAAGTCATGTTTGTGGGGGATTTGACAAATCGCTAGTTGATGTGGAAATGTGGAGAACTGAATTTAAGACTGGAAAAAGGAAGAACAGAAATTGGCACATTTGCCCATCCCTGGTCTGACCCAAATCAACAAATCCCACTAGTGCATTGGGGGGGGGCTTTCTTCCCCCATGCCCCCTTCCAAATCAGCTCCGCAGGGTCAGGCAAACTTCCTGAACAGCACACAGAGGGAAGAGAAGGAAGGTCACTCTGTTTGCCAAACATAAATGCTTATCACCTTAGTATGATGCTGAATCCCCCCAGAGGAGCTTTTTGTGTATATATGTGTGTGTTATCCACAAACAAACAATATCTAACTTACGTTAAATAATAAATAAATAAATAAATTTCATATGAGATAGGCAAGGATTATTATCTCCATGTGGAGATAATGAAGTGGGTGGGAGCTTTCTTTCCCTTCCAATGCAAATAGAGGTTTTGGGGTAACTAGAGGTTTCTGAAATGTAACCTTTTTGCCCCGTTTCCTCATGTAATTTTCCATTCATGTTTAAATTGCAGCAAGAGGAAAAGAAGCTTCCGACGAAGATTAATGTGCGACCTGGAAAGGTATGGAGGGTGAAGGGGGGCCTGTTGGTGCCAAATGTCTGGGCAAGGGGCTGATATGCTTGCAGGGAGAAGGTTAAGGGCTGGGTGTTATTGCCTTGGTGGTAATCTCAATTTCTGCTTTTCTCACTAGATCATTCTGTACTCTGAGGCAGGCTTTGGGGGTCAGAAGAGAGAAATATGGGGTGATATCACTGATGCCACATCTTGGGAGCTCTCCCACACCATCTCCATCCGAGTGATCCGTGGAGGGTAAGTAAGCCTCTGAGTGATTTGCTTTGGGTTGTGTTTCAGGGAAGGGCTGTGTGTGCTGTGCATATAGAGCAGGGATGGGGAACCTATGTGGCCCAACAGATGTCATTGGACTCCCAACTCCCATCACCCCCAGGTTTTAGGGCCAACGGTGAAGGGGATGATGGGATTTGTAGTCCAACAATGTCTGGAGGACCCCAGGTCCCCATCTCTACTGTACAGGCAGAAAACACAGTGCCGCGTAGAAGTGAAATCAGAAGCAGATTAAGACCTTTCTCCTAATGCTTAGTCAAAATATGCTCTCCATCCAGTGGTCCTACTCTTGCCCTCTGACATCTTAAATGGTCAAGGGGCATAATTTCCAGGTAGGGTTCATTTATTATTTTATTTTATATATATTAAATATTTAACTTGCCCTTCCTCCCAAAGGAGCCCAGGGCAGCCATCAACAAGAGATAAAACAATAAAGAGCATTAAGTACATCTTTAAAACACCTTAAAACAATTCTAATGCAGATGCCGACTGTGAAGGTTCACAACTTAAAAGGCTTCTTGAGAACCGAAACACAGCCAGCCCTCAAAATTTGCACATATCCAAATTTTGTGAAGTGGTACTTCAACCAGCGTTTGCAAAACAGATATATGTTAGGTAAAAGTGCACATAAAAATTACCACGTTAGTGAAAACAGCATACAAAAATGCATTTAAGAGACATTGCTTGCAAAAATGTGTACATTAGTCAAAACTGCAAACAAAAATGTTTATATTCAGAGAAATTTGCACTTAAATGTCCAAGTACTTTCCTTGGGGATTGTAAAAATAAATAAATTGCAAACTGCGGTGGAAATGTGAAGAACTGAAATTAAGATTGGAAAAATGAGAGGCTGAGATAACTGAAATAGACAGATCCATCCCTACTCACCAACTCTACTTGGAACTAACCCAATGTCATGTACTCGCCAGCTGGGTAATGTACGAGAAGCCACGGTTCCATGGGCGGAAGTGTGTGCTGGCAGAAGGGGATGTGGAGATCACCAACCCTTGGAGAATGTTCCACAAAGAAGGGGCAGCAGCTGAGAATGCTCCATTCCATATCGGCTCACTCAAGAGGGTTGTGCGGGTAAGCAGGACTCCTTTCTATTTACGAGTAACTTCTTTCGGAAGCATGTTGTTTGGAAATGCAGGTCTCATACCAGCCTTCCTCAACCTTGGGTTCCCAGATTTTGTTGGACTACAACTCCCATCATACTTGGCCATTGTTCATGTTGTGTGGGAATATCATGTGGGGAAGGCTGCTCTCTACATTGTGATGGATGGGTGGAAGGGAGGGAGGAAAACACAAGAATGGGGCAGGGAGCAAGATTGCAGTATGCCTATAAACTGCGGGCAGAGGCAGATTTTGGGGAGCACAACCAGGTCAGTGGCACTGGGGACCTTTTTCTCAACAGTTTTGGTGGTTTGTTTCCTAAATAAAGCTCAACAACTTTGCGGGTGTTAGGAATTTTACTTTTTGAAATACAGCAACCCTTTTTCACTGAATGTATGCAAAGGGCTTATTTGAGTTGTTAGTGACCACATTTGGATGTAACACTAAACCATGGGTTAGCATTACATGAATGGGCTACTCTCCCCAGAGCTTGCATTCTCCTCTCCCTCCCACATTACTGAAAGGAGAAGCCTAGAAGCTTTTTCTTCCAGTTTTAGCAATTGTGACCAGTTGGGGTGGTTGAGAAGGCAGTGGCATCCTCCCAGCGATGGCAGCAATGCATTCATCAGGGTAGGATTGGGGCAAGGTGACACCAGTGAGGTCAGGGGGCTGCTGCATCGAGTGGCATTGATTGCATTGGTCCTTACTTGTGTGCTCTTGGGCATTGGACTTCAGCCATTATGTTTGCAACCCTAATGTCAGCACAGGCCTTTGGAACTCTTCCAAGTAAGATATCTCTGTCCCCTGGCAGTGTAGTAATTGGACTTTGCGGTACATTTCTGGATGCTGGAAATCAGTTTGGCGAGAAAACAAAGAGTTCTGTAGTTGTTTCCCCCCTTTCACAGGACAATCCTCTCTCTTTCAGGATTACAGGATTCCTGAGATCAGTTTGTTTTCTGAGGAGAATGGAGAAGGCAGAAAACAGAAGTTCACAGATTCTGCAGAGGACACACGAATTCACAATGAGCCATTGCAGGCAGCTTCTATCATTGTGCACTCTGGCCTGTAAGTGACAGCTTTTAAATGCTTTGAGCATTCATGATGTGAGAAGTGATCTAGAACTAGGGATGGAGGAGAAAATCAGTTTGGTTTGGATTTTAATGTAAACTTACCTAACTCGCAACCAAATACAGAAATGGGTACGCTAGCGGAAAGTGTGCACAAGAATGTGTATATGCGTATATACATACAAAATGCATTATATTATGAGAAAGAGTTGTGTGTGCATATGTATGTGTTTCCTCATTTTTCAACACAGCACAGGTATTTGATGGTCCGGGGAGGTAGATACACCAATAATCTGATTTTTTTGCACAGGATCACAGCCTGGAGGATTATTGTGCAAAGGCTAAATTGTGACCGGGACACACTTTGGCCTGGCTTGCAAGTAATGCAAACTATGGTTTGTTTGTTTGTTTGTTTGTTTGTTTGTTTGTTTGTTTGTACAAGCACACTCCAGCCAGCCAACTATGGTTCGTTTGTGGCCATCAAACCAGAAACTATGGTTTGAGATTGGCTTATAAATTTCAGTTTGTGTTATTCTTGGTTTCTCATGACACTGAACCCTCGATTCTAGTTTAATCCTAGTTTGTTTCAGCACCTCACACAACTCTGGCAACAGAGGTGCAAGTCAACAGCACTTAGAAAAAAACCAGTATTAGATTAAGCAAGCCATGGTTACTTTGCTCATCTGCAAACCACAGCTAAAGCAAACCATTGCTTGATGATACATGTGAACATTGCTATATATTTATTGAGAAGTGGAACTACGGCAAAGCAGTTTGGGTCATATGTTTCTTTCATATTACAATCTTCTTCCTAAACTTGGTGGGGTTTTTTGCCCACGTCTGGGGGACAAGTTGGCTATACGCAGCAATGATTAGCTAGGGCTTGTGGCAATGCATCTCTGAATATCAGTCCCTAGGAAACAACAGTGGATGAGTGTTGTGGCGCAGGCTTCCCAGAAGCATCTGGCTGGGCACTGAGAACAGAATGCTGGACTAGATGAACCTTTGGTCTGAACCAACAGGGCTCATCTCAGGGACGCGGACTTATAAAAAATATTGGGGGGGCCCGGGAAAGCTCATGAATAATAAATAAGCTCATGAATATGCAAATAAAGTGGCTCCGGCCCTAAATAGGGCAAGCCACGCCCCCCCAGCCAGCCGATTGGCTGGCTGGGAGGTGTGGCCAGTCGGGATTCCCCTGTTCTCGCGGGGGCTGAAACCGCCAGGAGGAAGGAAATTCCCCCCGGCAGTGCCTTGGCAGTGGCGGTGGTGCTGCGAAGCAGCGAGGCAGGAGCCCCCACCCCCGGCGCCCGAGATTATTGGGGGGGCTGAGCCCCCCCAAAAAATTTTTTGAGGGGGCTCGAGCCCCCTCAAGCCCCATGGGGTCGGCGCCTATGGCTCATCTTATGATCTTATCATGAACCTGCCTCCCTAGGATCAGTTTTTCACCTCTATTGCTGATCAACTGCATTTGTCGAAACCACTGAAAAGCTGTGGGGGGAGCTAAACTTGTTCAGCAGGAGAAAAAACAGCACTAAGTCCTCTTTTTAAAGTACACACCCTGAGTTGATTTCAGCTCAGCCCAACCTGAAAAGCACCTCTGGCATAGGTCCATTTAATTATTTTTTTTATAAACATATTTGTTATGTGCAAATCCTCTCATGACTCAGTGGTAGTTAAAGGTTCATGGCTTCATTTGCATAACTTTCCAGCTAGCAAGTATGTGTTCAGTCTTTCTTTTGTACACATATTTGTAGCAATTTGTAAATCCACACTTGACCTAATGGGAGGGATGTGCAATAGCTTGCAACACTGAGCTTGGGGTTAGATTTGATAGATGTATTTTAGTCAAGTGACAAGTGGGACCTGCCATCCTAGTGCTAGAGGTCTGAGTTTGGGGGCAGGCTCTCAGCTTGGAACCTGAACATTTTATTTATTAAATTGAAATTATTTAACACGATTCATATACCGCTTAAGCATCAAAGGCTCCAAGCAGTCTGCATAAGATATACATTTAAATTACAGATAAAATATAAATAAAAATCAGATGCTAGAAAGAAGTTAGGCTAAAAACAATCCAAATAAAAATCAGCATTATGAAGCATTTATATTATCTCTTTATGTCATAAAATGCGTATACCACAAAGCAGTTTACAAAAAAAAGATACAACAATAAAATTATCACTAAGAAAAATGAACAACAATGATTTAAGACATTCAAAAAATTAAAATAACAATAGGCAAAAACAGATTAAAATTCGCATCAACTTTCTAAACATCTGAGTAGGCTTGTCTAAACAAAAATGTTTTTTAGCATTATGAAATAAAACTACTATTTGCATAAAGTATATATTAAAAGTAGGGATAAAACCAGTTAGGCTTTAAAAAGCAAACAAAATCAACGGTTTTAAAATATACATTAAAAAATAAAATTATGTATTAAAATACAATTCAAATTTACATGGCTCCCTTAAACAAAAAGTTTTTAGCAGGTGCTGAAAACAATACAGTGAAGGCACCTGCCTAATAATCGCTGCAAAGGAAGTTCCAAATTATTGGTGCTGACACACTGAAGCGTCAATTCAGAACAAACATGTGGTTTTGCTGGTATTTCTATTTAACTGGGTGAGGCTTGAGAAGAGGGAAGTGGAAGTGTGTCCTTCCTTTACACTCTGCTGGAGCTTCCCTGTATACAGGGAGGGGAGCTTTTAAACCCCCCCCACCCCCACGATATGTGCTGTTAACTGTTAGGGGCTTGAGAAGGTCAGTTCCCTCCTATTCTCCACCTCATCCTGGAATATAGAAAATGTCTCAGAAGCACAGAAGTCCCTGCCTTCAGCTGCTGGAGACAGAGCTAGGGGCTTAATATTGGTCTGAGTATTGAGTGGACTGGACTCTTCAGACCAGGATGATACACAAGACCAGACTCCTGCTTTTTATATCTCACCTGGCCAATTCAGAAGCCTCACTCTGGCTGCATCATGGTAAACTGTAAACTATGGTTTACCATGCACAAGCAAAATGGCACCTGTTTCGCAGCTTCCAGCTCCCTTCTCCTGGCGCTGGGAGGAGACGAACCATGTTCCCTGGCTTAGCATTATGTTGAAACCTGGGATTGTGGTCTGCTCACTCGCAGTGAACTACATTCTGTAGCCAAGGCTTATTCTTCACTTGTTGAATATGGCTTGTTGGAGCAAAACCATGATCCCTAGTTGGGATGCTAAGCTAAGGGATTCTGGTGTGTTTCCTCCCAACATATGCTTTATGGTTCACCATGATGTTCGAACATGACTGCTGTCTTTCCAGTCACAGGTTATGCATTCCTCTCTTCTTCCAGGGCTGTCGCTAGGATGTGCTTTTCAGTTCATTGGGCACATGACACTACAAAGTTTTAGCAGTCGTTCATGGTTCTCTCTATGCTCCACAGGTGGCTTGTTTATTCAAAACCCTTCTTTGACGATGATCCTTATGTCTTAGAACCTGGTGGGTATCCCAGTTTGCGAGCCTGGGGAGCCAAGGACCCCTCAATCTGCTCCATGCATCCAATTAAGATGGTAAGTGTTGTTTGGCAGCATCTTCCTCCTGTTTTCAACCTTAAGGTAAAGGGACCCCTGACCATTAGGTCCAGTTGCAGACGACTCTGGGGTTGCGGCGCTCATCTCACTTTATTGGCCGAGGAAGCCGGCGTACAGCTTCCAGGTCATGTGGCCAACATGACTAAGCCACTTCTGGCGAACCAGAGCAGCACACGGAAATGCTGTTTACCTTCCTGCCAGAGCAGTACCTATTTATCTACTTGCACTTTGACATGCTTTCGAACTGCTAGGTTGGCAGGAGCAGGGACCAAGCAATGGGAGCTCACCCCTTCGTGGGGATTTGAACCAGTGACTTTCCGATTGGCAAGCCCTAGGCTCAGTGGTTTAGACCACAGGGCCACCCGCGTCCCTTAGCCAGGTATAAACTGGGATCATTATAAGTGATGGACAGCTTATAAATCTAAATCATAAATATATGTTGGGACATGAGTGTCCAAGCTATCCATTTGCTTGTGGTTTCCTGTTTACACTTTAGAAGGCAGGCTTGAACTGCATGGAGACAGCAAATATTTTTTTGAAAGAATGACATTTTATATTTGAAAAGCCCCACTACGTCAGATCTAACACACATCTCGTCCACCATCCTGTTCTCGCGATGGCAGAGTGGTCCATGAAAAGGAAGACGGAGTGGACAGATCCACTCACAGAATTCTCACTCTGGCTTATTTTTGTTTTAGGGCTGTCCTGTCGTGGAAAAGCCTGGCGAGCCCAAGGTAAGAGGGGGAAATAATTGCTGCTGAATTTGATCCTAGGGCAAAAATACTTCCCAGCAGAAAAGGGGGCTAGAGGACTTAAGCTAGCTCTAGCATTGCACATTTCAGCAAGAGGCATCAGCAAATCTTTGTTTGGAATAAGCTAAAGTCTTTATTAATTTATATCCACTGTACTGAGTGGAAAAAGTCATTAGACAGTTAATCTACCTAGGGAAAGAAAGCTTAAGTGGTCTTCCTGAGTTGTGAGTTCAGTTTCTCTTTTCTTGTTTCCTTCTGCCATTACTTGTAATGCCTGATGAAACTGAGTAAAATATGCCGTTTAAAGTTTGCAGACGTGTCTGTCGTCCTTGACAAAAACACACTCTACAACAGGCATTTCACATTTTGGAGTTCCAAAAACTGAAATGTTACACATAGAATAAAATGCAGAAAATATGTCAATGGATAGCTTTTGCAGAAACATGTCCAACAGGCATCCTTTACTTTGGGCTGTTGGGGGTGGTGCTTATAGATTTTAAAGGAATAAATAGCAAGTGGCTACAGCCTACAGTAAAATGTTGATGAATAGAGTGGCATGCAAAAGGAAGGGGGAAAGAAAGCAGTGCTTATGGACTTACGAACTCTTCCATACTGGAGCTTTTTCCAGACATGAGCTGAATGTTGTTGAACACAGCAGCCACAAGAACTAGGAATTTGCTCTGTTATAAAAAGAAATCCCAGACATTTAAGGAGTCCAGATTGTAAGCTTTCCACAAAAGTGAGTTGCTCCAGGCCCTCATTATTTTGGTTGCTCTTTTCTTTAAAAGCAAGAAAGGTTCAAAAGTTTGTGAAAAACACCAGAAGGAGGAGGTGTCCACCATTTTACTCTCATTGTTCTCCATGTTTCATTCTCTCTTTCTCCCACTTCCTCTGCAGGCTCTAATCTATGAAATGCCACATTTTCTGGGTCATAGCTGGGAAGTAAGCAGAGACATTTACAACCTGAAGAAGCCAGAAAACAACCAGGACTCCAAGATGTCTACTGCAGGCTCTCTGAAAATCCTGGGAGGCTGGTGAGCATATGGAAGAATGAATAAGTGTTGTAGGGCAAAGGAGCCATCTAGGCAGCAATAATTGTCAGCTGACTCCTACATGCCAATCCCTGATCACCCAGGTTTAGGAAGCCCTTGATGCAGAACTGGCCAATGAGTCTGAGCATGAGCAACATTCCCTGCCTGTTCTGGAAATTGACCTCAACCCAGCCACTTCTTCCTTGCCTGTTTAGCCCACCTGATTTCCTCATCTCCTGGCATCCAAGAGCATTCTGGGCACTGTTGTTTGCTAAGGGTTGCTGTGAATTGTAACTCTCTGAGGGGTAAACTACAGTGCCCAGAATTCTTTGAGGGAAAGAATGTGTTTCAAACATGCTTTAAAGGCGGAGTGTGTTCACAACCATGGCTCTAACAGCTGATCCCACACCTTCTGCCCACCCCAATATAAACAGTACTGCTTGTTGCTGTCATTTTCCTGCCCTTCACCCTAAGGTGCGGGTTATGACAATTAAAATACAATGTATGTCTTTAACATTTGCACCTGGCACCTTCACTACACATCTTTCTGCGAATGTTGAAGACACAGCTCATTACACTGACTTTTGACATCTGAGATGGAGAGGAAGCTCCACAATGTAGGGGCTGCCACAGAGAATGCCCTCTCCTGGGCCACCATTGCCCCCAAGCCTCTGAGGGCAGTGGGACAACCAAAAGAGTCCATGAATTATTGGGGATGGGGGAGAAGAGAGATGGTTGTACATCTGGAAGGAAAGGGAGAGTAATTTGTCTTTTGTGCTACATGCACGCTCTCTTATTGTCGGATTTTTTCACCTTGCTAGCTGGATTGGTTATGAGAAGGAAGGTTTCCGTGGGCACCAGTACCTGCTGGAAGAAGGAGAGTACAATGACTGGACACAGTGGGGAGGCTACAATGAAGAACTGGTGTCACTTCGGCTAATTCGGACGGTGAGAAAACCTGTCTGCTTAACAGGGCAATGGATGGGAGATTTATTGCCACGAGGGAAGAAAAATTTCCTGTCTTAAAGCATATGCTGAGTTCCTAAAATAAGAAGTGTCAAAGGTCAGCCGTATCAGGGAGAAACAGGACTAGTTCAGAAGTATTATTTGTTTTATTTCTTTTAACTTTCCCTTGACTTCCAGTGTTCCGGCTAATGCTTATGTAACCATACCAGCACTACCCAAACACGAGGCAGGTATTAGCAGACTTGGGGACACCTTCAAAGTTTGCAGAAGGACAAAAAAAATATTTAGGAAAAGAGCTTGAGGGAGGTACAGCCTCCAAAACTGCTGGGTAAGAACTGAGTGTGCTTTGTGGCCATGGAATAGTGACTGTATCGGGGACAGGCAATGGAAACTACTGAAAATGCAATTATAGGTCTTGTTTGTCCAGTGTGAAAGCAGGATGCAGGCAGTAGTTTCCCAATTATTTATTACGAAAGTGAGGACAACGCCCCCTTGAAATCTAAAGAAATCATCCTAGTGTACATTGCACATGATTATTTCACGTGTGTCTGCACTGAGGAAAGGAGCACTGGGGGTATCCCATGTATTATTATATTTTATTATTATTAACTGCTGCTATTATAGTAATTTTCCTTACTGTTCATTTGTAGTTTCATTGCTGCTATTTTTTGAATGGTCAACCACTTGAGTATGGTTTCTGTAGAAAGACAGAACAAATTTGTTGTTGATGATGATGATTTTGCCCCCCTTCTCCAGCATGTTACAACAATTTAGAATTCAGAATTAAAAGCAATTAAAACAGTATCTGTAAGAGTGTTACATGTTTTTAAATTAGTTATTTTTTCTCCATGCCACAGTGTTTCCAAATGCATCTTTAATTAGCAATTTCCTGTCAACAGGCTGTTTACTAACTCATTCCCTTTTCACAGCCTGAGCAATTGCTTTTCTGGTTACTGTCATTGTTGTTATTAAACAGTTAACAAAAAACAAAATAATACCTACACAACATCCACAAGAATCCCTAAACCTTTTGCTATCACTTACGGTGTGTTCACATTACTGACTTAGAGTGCTGTAAAGCTGTTTCCTCCCTGGTGTGTTTCACAGCTCTTCCCCTCCCCCACACTGTAGCCTTTCACATCAGCATAGTTTCATTAGTGTCAGATTCATTTCTGTTTGTGTACACACCAAGGGTCATTGACCAGGGGGTGGGGATGTTTGCACCATACATAAAGATGCTCACAACCTGGCAAGAGACAAATTGGGAATGGCTTAAATATGCCATTTGGTGTGAAGCTGATTCGAGAAACAATGCATCAAACAGTAGTATTTTCTGCATATACATTTTGGATATCATTTGAATATGGATGAAAAACTCAGTACTAGAAACGTAGTAAACAAGAATGCAAAGACAGCCTTGCTCCTCCCCATAATCCATTCCCACTGCCTTTCCTCCTTTTCTATAACTCAGGTCTATAGGATGTGAATGAGGCTCCTTTTTCTTGAAAATCCATCAGCAAGGAGATGGGTTGTTGCTGCTGGCTGTGCTGATAGATTTTATTTTTCTTCACTCGGTAGGACTTCTTGGACCCAGCCCTTGTGCTGTTTGAGGCCATGGACTTTGAAGACGGACCCAGCGTTGAGCTCAGTGAAGCGCTGCCAGATGTTGAGCTGGCCAGCTACGGGACCACGACACAATCCATCCATGTCCTCAGTGGAGTGTGAGTATCGTTGTGTTCTCTGATTTCTCAACCCCAAACGTGGGGAGGCCACATCAGGGCTTCTCTGAAAGTGGGGTGAAGCATGAGGCACATGATCCCTGCGACAACATAAATCTCCACAAGCTTCTGCACTGTGGTTTGATTCTGTATAGGGAAGTTTTTTTAATTGTTTCATGTTTTATTATGTTTTTTATATATATTGGAAGCTGCCCAGAGTGGCTGGGGTGACCCAGTCAGATGGGTGGGGTACAAATAGTGAAATTGTTGTTGTTGTTGTTTTACATGCTTGTAAATGAAAGAACTTTGTGTGGTTACATTTGTTGCTTGCACTGTTTAATGAAAATAATAAAAATTACGAAGGAGGGGGAGAAAGGAACAGTAACATAAGACCTCCTTTGTTTGAGCCAAATAAGAGGTCTCTGAGAAGTACATGAGCTTTTTGAGATGATCAAAACTATTCCACAGTCTGGATACTAAAAAGCAAGCGAAAGGATAGGTGTCAGGGAAAACCCAAATCTGTGTACACACTCTACCTTCCAAGCACATTCTTTCCCTCAAAGAATTCTGGGCATTGTAGTTTGCTAAGGGTTGTAGGGAATTGTAACTCTGTGAGGGGTAAACTACAGAACCCAGAATTCTTTGAGCGGTAGAATGTGTTTCAAATGCAGGCAGAGTACGTACGTATCCAAAATCTGTTTGAAACAGTTTGATAGGGAATGGAGGAGGTAGTATCCAGACTTAACGAGGATGAGTGGTGATTATTGCAACACGGTTGCACCAAAGGCTAGAGGGAGAAAGAAGCAGAGCAGTATTTATGCTCATTAAGAACTATAGGTCGATCACCCACCAACACCCACCAACACCAATAAAACATCAAATCTTATTACATATATCCTACTTTAGGGTGGGTGATCTTAAATCTCAATAAAAATTATTTTAAAAAAAGAAAGAAAGAAAGAAAAGAACTGTAGTTCGAAATTTCACATGATGTGTCAGCAAAACACGCACATTGAGCTGCGAGTGCTCTGGGTGTCAGATCGTGAATATGGAGGTTTAGATAATCCATTTCCATTTTTGTGGCCAGGTGGGTGGCCTATGAAGATAAGAATTTCTCAGGGGAGCAGTATATCCTGGAGAAAGGAGTGTACCGCAACTGTGAAGACTGGGGTGCAAGCAGCTGCCAGATCTCCTCAGTGCAACCTATCCTACAGGTGAGAATAAAGAACTCTGCATTCATATGTCCCCAGTTCAGAAACCATGTTCTCAATCCCACCTGTCTCCAAGAAACCTTCCGTTTTGTGTTTCCAAATAGGTTTTTGTGCAAGGCCAGATTAAGATGTTTGGGGGCAATTCTCAGAACAGGGCCTGCCTCCCCTCAAAAGCAACACATGAAATTTACCACCACAAAATACATCTTGTCTTAACGACTAACAAATTTATTATAGCATAAGCTTTTGTTGATTGCAGAAAATAATAATCCTCTAAGCCTTGGGAGTTTCACAACTCTCAGCAAAATACATTTTGCCAACCCTGTTAAACAAAAAGAAAATATTCAGAATATGGGCTCTTGAAACCCATTATTGGTTTCGCTCGCTGCCTGCCTTGGGCCAGTCACCAGCTCCCAGCCTCACCCACCTCAACATGGCTGTTGTGAAGATATAGAAGGAAGTTAGGATGGCTGCAAATGGGAACTTAGTGCTTATATCAGAAGATGATGAACTTCATTGGAGGTTTTTAAACAGAGGTTGGATGGCCATCTGCCAGGGATTCTTAAACTGTGGTTCCTTTGTTGTAGAGAGTTGGACTAGATGACCCTTGGTGTACCTTCCAATTCTACAATTTTTTATTCTCAGATTATAGACATCAAAATTTGGTTTGTTTAACCAGAGGGGTGCATTTTTCTGGATCCTCCCCTCTTGGATTGAATAAATGATCTCAAGGACCGTCCAGTCAAGCACATAATTCTTATCTTTCTAGGCTTGCCTAAAGATTATATTGTTTACCACTTCTTTTTCTTCTCTCTCTCTCTTCTAGGTTGGGGAACACAGTCTACACTTCATTTCTCAGGTGAGCAGGTGGACTTCAGAAGCAAAGCATGAGGGTGGTTCTTATGCCCATCACACTGCTGTTACATGGGTACTACCAGACGGGCTGCTGATTCACACAAAATTTGGTTATCCCATACTTCCTAATTTTTTTTTACCAGTCTGTTGTGACTTCCACCAAAGAATCCTGGGAATCGTAGTTCGGTGAGGGTGCAAATATTTTTCAGTTAAAATATTTTTCTATCCCCCCTTCCAGAACTACAGCTCTCAGTGTTTCTTTGGGGAGAAGAAATGACTGTCAGGAAACACATTGGCAGTATACAGATATTTCCGTCTGCCGCAGGTCTGATTCCTCCATGTTCATTATTTCCTCAGTTTGTTCATATCTGACATTTTCTTGACTCCCCAGATCCAACTCTTCTCAGATCCAGACTTCTTGGGGAATTACGTCTCTTTCAAGGAAGACCAAGCCTCACTTCCAGAGAATTTCATCCCACGCTCCTGCAGGGTCAATGGAGGCAGGTAAAGTGATGCTTCCTCAGTACAGCAGCTGAATGTGAATGGTATGCTGTGAAGAACTCATCATGTTGGCTCTAAAGATTTAGGGCAGGGACTGCCAGCATGATGCCCTCTCTAGATGTTGCTGGAGCAGTAGGAGTGGGGGAACCTTTGGCCCTCCAGATGTTGCTGAACTACAGCTCCCATCAGCCCCAGCACGCCTAGCCAATGATGGGAATTGTAGTTCAGCAACATCTGGAGGGCCAGACTACCACCATACCTGGTCTACAGCTCCCTTCTTCCTTGACCATTGGCCATGCTGGCTGGAGCTATTGGGAGTTGAAGTCTGGAAGGTTTCATGTTGGCTACTGAGGCTATCCTTGAATCTTTGTTCACCTGAATAAATAATGCTAGGCATGAAAGGTCATGCTGGAGCAACTGTCTTACTTTTGGGTTTTGAAACACCTGAGTGGAGAAAGATTTCGAACCAGATCTACAACCCTGAACATGAAATTGCTGCCACTTGAGCGATGGAGTCAATCACGTCTCTGTCTCATTTCAGCTGGATTCTCTATGACTGCCCCCAGTTTGATGGAGAGCAACACATTCTCTCTGAAGGCGAGTATCCAACACTGACCTCCATGGGCTGCCTCTTCACCACGTCCATCCGTTCGCTGAAGAAAGTCCCCATTGTAAGTTGGAAACATCTTCTTGGCTCTAATACTGGTTGGCAGTAGGTAAATGACAGGCAAAAGAAAGTGCTTCTTTCACACAATGCATAGTTAACTTGCACGCTAATGGGACGCGGGTGGCGCTGTGGGTAAAAGCCTCAGCGCCTAGGGCTTGCCGATCGAAAGGTCAGCGGTTCGAATCCCCGCGGCGGGGTGCGCTCCCGTTGCTCGGTCCCAGCGCCTGCCAACCTAGCAGTTCGAAAGCACCCCCGGGTGCAAGTAGATAAATAGGGACCGCTTACTGGCGGGAAGGTAAACGGCGTTTCCGTGTGCTGCGCTGGCTCGCCAGATGCAGCTTTGTCATGCTGGCCACGTGACCCGGAAGTGTCTCCGGACAGCGCTGGCCCCTGGCCTCTTAAGTGAGATGGGCGCACAACCCTAGAGTCTGTCAAGACTGGCCCGTATGGGCAGGGGTACCTTTACCTATAGTTAACTTATGGAACTCTATGCCACAAGATATGGAAATTGTACCCTAAATTAAATGGTGGTTAGAAAGGATTAGATATACAAGAATTTAGATAGGACAGGGCATTTCCACACTAGGGGCCAATTCATTGCCAAAGAACTTTGGATGGATGCAGCAGCTACAAGATTCCGACGTCTCTAGGTTGTTATGGTACCAATTTAGCAATCAAATGAAAGAGGATATTAGAACAGGCAACAAGAAACCTGATCTCATTTGAAACACTGATGCAAAATTTGAAGAAAAAGTTAGGCTTCACAAATTTAGTATATACAGTACCGCTAGATATGGTATCCTTCTGGAGTGGCTGTCCAAGTTAGGAGTGGATGGCACTACTCCTTCTTGGATGGTCGTTTCCAGAGGGTGATACTTGGGGAGTGCTCCTTGGCACCATGGAGCCTTCAATGTGGAGTTCCTCAGGCTTCAATTTTATCCCCTATATGTTGTTTAATATCTACATGAAACCACTCTGGGGGTGTCATCTAGAGTTTTGCAGTACATTATGCAATATGCTGATGATTAGTCATTATTTGAGGCATCCTTCATTTGACCACCCCAACCTTAAGGTTTCCATGTGTTTAGCCTTCTTCTTGTTCCTCAAGCCCAGTTTCATCCCTGCCCTTCAACTCTGTTTTCCTTTTTTTCTTAGTTCTTCTCGGAGCCCTCCATCTTCCTACATGGACTGGAGTGTTTTGAAGGGAAGGAGATCGAGCTGAACAGTGAAGTGCGCAGCCTTCAGGCTGAGGGATTCAACAACCATGTCCTCTCTGTGCGGGTAAAGGGTGGAATGTAAGTAAAGGATGACCTGCTATCACGCATAACGACCTGGGCCATTGTTAGGGCTAGGTAGGGATGGACAAACCCATTCCACATGGGGCAGAACTGAGTCTGCCCCTTCCTGTTTCTCTGCTGATTTTAAAGCTGCATTTCCCCAAAGTCCTCCAGCCAGCCACAGCCTGGAGAACTGGAGACTTCTTGCCACCACACACTAGGAATAGAGTAGAGGAGCCATTCCCCCTGGGAGTTACGGGACTTGATGTTCGATCACTCTCAGAGGGAATTGTATGACAAAAACATTGCTGCCCCTGGGGAATTACCGTATTTTTCGCTCTATAACACGCACCCGACCATAACACGCACGTAGTTTTTAGAGGAGGAAAATCCGTAGGCATGCCACCCGTGGGCATTCCCTCCATAACACGCACAGACATTTCCCCTTACTTTCTAGGAGGAAAAAAGTGAGTGTTATGGTGCAAAAAATACGGTAAATGATTTGTGGTGGTGTGCAAATTAAATGAAGAATTTTATCTGCGTTGATTTGGATGAGAAAGTAGATGGCTTTCCTTCTGACACATTCTAATTCTAAATTTACACCTATTCAAATAAATTAGCTTGTGCAAATTTCGCGTCTATGGGTTTGTGTCCCAAAGACTTTGAAATGTCTAGCAACAACTGGAGGTGTCTAGGAGACCGTATGTGGCCATCATGAACACTAGCCAGGTCTGTAGTGTCAGCAGCAAGCAGGTCCCATGCTCCTTTTTTTGATTACCATTTCCCAATTGATGAAGGGTCAAAGTGATCTGTGCTGCTAATGCTTTTTCTCCCATTGTTTGTTGCTCTGTCAATTCCCTCATACAGTTGGGTGCTGTGTGAACACAGCGACTTCCGAGGCCGCCAGTGGCTCCTGGACTGTATGGAGATCACCAACTGGCTGACATACAGTGGACTTCAGCACATTGGCTCCCTTTACCCCATCCGGCAGGTGAGTGCCCAGTGCTCTGGTCTACTGGGGAGGGGTTATAGGCAAAGGATTACTGGTTAAGGAGCAGTTTAACCAGATGTATGTGGCACATTTGCCCTATCTCTCTGTCCCTTGCCAAGCTGCTTAAATGTTCAAGTGGGCCATTATAAATCTGAGGAGCAGGTAGATGTCAGAATGCTGGCTATTCCACCCTACCTGCTGCCCACTGAGGCATACATGCAGGGTGGATATGATTTAAATCAAATAAATTTAAATCATGATTTAAATCACAATTTAAATCACTAGTCAGTAAGACTTGATTTAAATCATTTTTTACAGAACTGTTCAACCTTGATGGCATCCTCTTAATATTTACAACCTGATGAAGGTTTCATTTTTGGAATAATAAATTTTCAGAGTAGTTTTTACAGTTATATCAAAAATTACAGGTTTGGTTATACTATCAGAAATACATAGACGGATAATAATGAAATTATTATTTATATTTGGACAACTTTTCTGCTGTACTTTATTGGAAGGAGAAAAATAATCATTTCCTGAATAGCAATTTAAACAATTTATTTAACTAAAACAATAACTTTATAGCATATGCATCCATGTTTGTTAACCAATGTGGTTAAATGATTAAAAAAAAAACTTAGACTGAGTTTTAGCACACATGAGAAACTTCAAACAAATCCTTATTTCCTGATGAATAACCTTTGGACTATAATGTAACTTAAATAGAAAACTACCTTTAGAAAGATTTTCCTCCAAAAGCATTTTATTTTAAAAATCCGATTAAATTTTTTAAAAATCTGATTTAAATAAAAAATTCCATTTATTTATTTATTTATTTTTAAAATAATAATAATTGATTTTTATCCACCCTGCATACATGCATGACTCTGAGAACGGACACGGTGGTCAGATTGCTCCACAGCATGGAACTTGCTGAGCAGCTTAGATGAATGCACAGTGATTGTCTTTTCTATCTGCCTCTCCCATCCCTCTCCCCAGAGACGCATCTACTTCCAAATAAAAAACGAAGAGTTGAAGTCCTTCCTGTCAGTCCCAGATGACGTTGAAGACATGAAAGCTGGGCGAGTTCTGGTCTCAGAGCTCAATGGCAAGAGCAGCTCCATCTGGTACTATGAAGAGGGGCTTATGAAGAACCAGGTGAGGGCTTCTTTCTCTTCCTCTTGTGTGGTTTACAGGGACAGAAGCAGCTGGGGTGCATGGATAATCCAGGCCTGCTTCAAGAAGACCCCATACGATACCCTCAAGTTTAAATAGTTCCGCTCCCTCTATTGTCCACATAGCATTTGGGTAAGCCAGGCAAAACTAATATCCAAATCAGGGCTGGTATAGAAGAAAAGTCTGTATTTAGGTGCCATGGCTCAGTGATGAGGCCCATGTCTTGTATACAGAAAGTCCCAGGTTCAATCCCAGGTATCGCCAGATAACAGGATATTGGGTATCAGGTAATGAGAAAGATCTCAAAAGGCCACTGCCAGTCAGAGTAGGCAGTACTGGGCAGGATAGACCAATGGCTTGACTCAGTACAAGTCAACTTCAGCTTTAGATGTTCACTGTCTGTATGCAACGCACTTTCATACAACACTGAATTGGCCTCTCTTGACTTTCAGGTTGCGCCCAACATGAGCCTGCAGGTGATTGGTCCAGCTGCAAAGGGATCCAAGGTGGTGTTGTGGTCTGAGAGCCGACTGCCCCGGCAGACCTGGCAAATTGATTCTTTTGGGAGGATCTGCAGCCAGATGTTTGAAAACAAGGTCCTGGATGTGAAAGGTAAGGCATTGGCTTTTGTTGTTGTTGTTTTGTTTTGTTGTGATTCAGATTTAGGTTCATGAGGGAGTTCTTGAGACCAGGAAGCAAGTAATATGGCTGTAGAAGGGATGAAATTTAGCTAGAAATGCTTCATTCTCAGTTTCCTTTCACCTTTTCCCCATGTCACCCACCATTCCTGGAAATTCCTGTTCAATCTTTCCGCACCACTATTTAATCTTAACATGTGTATAGCACTCTCAAACATCAAAAGCACTTCTCATGCATTATCTTTTCTAGATGTAATGCTTACAATCCAGTTCCTTCAGCCTAACCTAATGGAACTCGCTTTCTGTTCTCTGAGCTTATATCAAGGTGAAGATCTGGTGATAAAAGTCACTTGGAATGTTTATGCACAGCATACTCTAGCCTAGTCCAGCAATAGTGAAGGGGACATCTATATATCACCTATCTATCTATCATCTATCTATCTATCTATCTATCTATCTATCTATCATCTATCTATCATCTATCATCTATCACAATTATTCATATCCTGCTTTTCAGGATTCAAATCCTTTTTAGGGCAGCGCACAAACAACATTGATTGGGTGAAATGCCCATTTTCTTCTTCCTTTTCTCCGTGTAGGAGGCCGAACCTATGACCGGGACCATGCTATCCTCTGGGATTGTTCGGAGGAAAGGCCTACACAGATCTGGGACGTCCAGGTGCTTTGAAGAAAGCAGGAATTGGAGAGCCATGTCACGTGCAGAACTAGAATTTAGCCTGCAAGTCACAGACGTTTGTCCTTTTGTGACCAAGCTGCATCTTTGGGGATTAGCTGCTGAAATGGATAAGTGACTGGGTGCTGCATTTGGTTAGTAGATGCAATCCTTTCCCCACAGATTGCAGCCCAGAAAGAGGAAAATGTTTCTGTGAAGTACAGAGATTGGTCTCCTCAAGGAACTCTGTAGAGGAAAGGAGGCAAAAGCTGGTTCTTTTCCAACAACTAGGAGCTGAGCCCAGCAAGATGGAGATTATTGGCGAGTTCTGATACGCGGATCATTCATGAATGGACAAAGTCAAGCAGCTCACCTGTATGAGCACAGGAAAGCAAGCTGCCAAAGCCTCACAGGTGTCCCCAGCCCTGCTGGTTTAGGCTTATATATGAATATCTAAAACAAACACACACATACAGCATGAATGAGCCTTTTGTCCTTGCATGCAGCCCATTCCCTTTCCCCTGTGCTCTTCTTCCTAAGGGGATAGGCTACCTTGTAAACTCTATTTATGTACCTGTGTATGATACTATGCCTTTTATAAATCCATCTCTCTGGCTGGTGTGCTGACTCCGTTATTTGCCACTAGGACATGTTCATGGGGACACTGGCTTCAACCACAGGCATAACATGTAGGGATCTTGCCCACAAGTGTTTTGGGTGGTGGAGAGAAATGCCTGTAACAACAGCAACAATTGGCCAGCTGGGATCATAAACAAAAGAAAAGCAGGAATAGTATCACACTAATGTGGCTGCAAACCCCATATTATAAGGAACTGGTGAACATTAGGTTCTTGCAAGTCTACAAAGCTGTGCTGTTTTCACTATCTGTGTTTTAATAGAGTTGTTTTTATATTGTTTTAATTCTATTATAGTTTAATTACTTTTAAACCCCCTTTTTTTTTTGGCCAAAGTTGTTGAGCTTTTTGGGCAAAATCTCTCAAAAAAAGAAGCTTTTTAAAAACAATTTCTGCCTGGACACTGCTCCTAATTTTATCTATGTTGTTTTAATTTTTCTAAGCTGCCATGAATCCCAGTCTGTGAAAAAGGCAGGGTATTAATTATGCTGCTGCTGCTGGCACAGTGCAGGAATGGCTGGCCTGTGGCCTTCCATATATTGTCGTATTACAGTTCCCACCACCCCGCACAACTGATCATGCTCACTCGGGCTGATGGGAGTTAGAAGCAACAGCATCTGGAGAGCCACAGGGTAAACACCCCTGCTATAGTTTGTCAGAGATCAACCTCAATTTATACTATTCTCAAGCTTCTCTGCAGTGCTGGTAGATTATTATTATTTATTAATTTTCTGTACCACCCACCAGAGGTTTACATGGTGATTTACAATATAAAAACACACAATACATAACACAGCAACAAACAAAAACAATAACCCTCACACAATATAAAAGGCCATAAATTGTTTAATTAGTCAAAGGCCTGGGAGAAGAGGAATGTTTTTGCCTGGCACGTAAAGATATGTAATGAAGGCACCAGGTGAGCCTCTCTGGGGAAAGCACCCCATAAGTGGGGAGCCACTGCAGAAAAGGCCTGTTCTTTTGTTGCCTCTCAGAGGAGGCACATGATGAAGAGCCTCAGATGAGGATCACAAGGTCCAAGTCGGTTCATATGGGGAGAAGCAGTCCTTGATGTGTCAGGTTCTTCTGCACTGCGTAAATTCTGCTCCTAAAGGAATCCATGCTTGAGTCCTTTGGAATCTGCTTCCATACCCAGAGCTTCATGAATCAGTAGTCTGACTCACTATTAGGCAAACCCCCATATTTATTCATCACTGACACATGTTGCATTGATGGTTGTTAAACCAGGACCAGCTTCTTCCATGTGTTGGTTCTCAGAACCTTTGCCTCACTTTTCATAGCCCCAGCTTTGGGGGCTATGGGAAAGACATCTATTTGCCGTGAGGAATTGTTGCTGCTATTTCTCATTTCCACCACTAGAGGGTTCTGTTTTCTTCAACAGCGCATAGCACATGAGTTCTTCCTCAGTCTTTTTGTGTGAAGGAGCAGGGTTTCGTCAGGAAGCCATTTTGCATGTAGATATCAAATAAAGGTGCTTACACTTTTCACTATATGTACATCCCACAAAACTCAGCAGAATCAGAGCTAGCAGTGGTTCCTTGGATGGATGTACACATTCTGAAAATAAATGCATGCATCTTCCTCCCTTCTTTATGGGATTCGTTTGTGGCACATACTAAATCTTTTAACAGGCAGTTGCTAAAAGTATGATGCAGTCGTGCATTAGGAGTTTAACAAGATCAATTATTTAACCAATGTGCAGCTGGAGGGCATAGTGGAAATAGCAGCGGCTTGGCATAACAAATTGTCCCTCCTGGAAGTTTTGTTTTTATGTGTGAAGCCAGCCCATTTTCTTGGATGCAGGCAAGGGCCATTGATTTGTCTAGCCTCCTTTGGAATATTTTTGCATGTGGTTATTTCTGGGTGGGGCTTCTCCATGGGTTTCAACCGTTGCTTCAGTTCCCAGTCAAGAAAGGAAGGCACAGGCGCAAGTCCCTTCCCACTACTCAGGTAGGGGAAGAAAGCCCAGAATGTAGGGGGTGTGGCCTCTTTGGCAGACGGTCAGGACTGAACTTGAGCCACAACTTAGTGTGACTGGGCCCCAGAGCTCCAGAGCCTGTTATGCCCAACAGGGGTCAAGTGCAGAACATATAAAATATTGATGTGCTTCCAGTGCCTTGGGAAGGTCAAATCTCCTATATCATTAGGAACAGTTTGGGATGTGGAATAGAACCTCTCTCCTCCTGGACTGTGTTGTCCCTCCCAGGAAGGGAACTCGGCCAATGAAGAGCATGCTTCCTGATGAGTGGCATAGCCCAGAAGTTAGTTTGCTAAAGAGAATGTGAAAGAGGGTCTTGTATCACCTTGACTGCTAATAGGGAAACTGGTTTCCCCGCAGCATAGCTTTCATGCAAAGCTTTGCCTGGAAGTGTCACAGGTATCTTTGGACAAGATATTTGATTTGGTCCGCATTCAAGGCTGAATCTTATCAGATTTGCACTTTCTGAAACAAAGATGTGAACCTGTTCAGAAAGATGACTTACCTCGGTTACAACAGGAAACCCACACTTATCTGCATGCGATCTAAGACTGCAGACTGTGGCTTTCACATGTTTAGAAGGGAAATGAAACATTGGTGTCTAAGCAAGGTGGGTGGGATATATGAGTATCCTGTTTTAAGCAGAAAAATAAAAGATTTTGTTCAGGTGTAACAAAGCAATTGTTGGCTTTACCTTGGGGGGGGGGGAGAGAATGCCCTTTTACAGTTTTTCAGCTAAATGCAAAATTACTGTTGTAGCATTTTGCTCAAAGGGGCAAGAACATTAATTTAAGACAGCAGATGCTAAAAGGGAACCCTAATGCCCAGGCCTCATTGCCCTAATACACTACATCAGCTAGCATGATGCTCTACCAATGTTTTGGACGACAACTCCCATCAGGCAAGACCTGGCCTGCTTTTTGTGACTAGGGATGTGAACTTTTGAACCAATCTCGAAACAGCAATTTAATCTGCACCATCTAGCAGGTTATCATATTTAGCTCCGTTTGCCAATAACATTTTTTTTAAAAGCTTCAACTTTTAGCATTTGTATATTAGGTAAAGGTAAAGCTAATTTGTATATTCAGCCTCTGTTGAACAGGAGCCAGCTACTCTGAGCCCCACCCCAAAGTAAAACCCCTCGGCCACTGCCGTTTGGGAACCTGTTTTGCTTCAACCTGATCTGCTGAAATCAGTTCTGTTTTTGTTTTTCATGGCATGGAGTTGATTGCCTACTGATACCTTGTAAGCCAAGCTGCGGCTGAAGGTCAGAAAAAAACAACCCCTCTCACATACGAGAATGTAAGAAGAGCCAGCTGAGTGAGGCCAATGGCCCATGCAGTCCAGAATCCTGTTCTCACAGTGGCCAACCAGATGCCTGTGGGAAACCTGCAAGCAGAATCCAAGTACAATAGTGCTCTCTCCTGTGGCTTCCTGCAACTGGCATTCAGAAACATCATTGCTTCCAGTGAGTAGCCATCATGGCTAGTGATAGTCTCGTCCTGAGGAAAATAGGGTTCATGTGCATGCACACACACAACTGCTATTTGCATTGGGAAGCCTCCTTTGGCACCAAAAGGGCACTTTAAAATATAGCTTTCAACAGGAATTAGACAAATGTATGCCGGAGAAGTCATTCCTATATAATATAAAGGTAAAGGGACCCCTGACCATTAGGTCCAGTCGTGACTGACTGGGGTTGCGGCGCTCATCTCGCTTTATTGGCCGAGGGAGCCGGCGTACAGCTTCCAGGTCATGTGGCCAGCGTGACTAAGCTGCTTCTGGCGAACCAGAGCAGCGCACGGAAACACCGTTTACCTTCCCGCCGGAGCGGTACCTATTTATCTACTTGCACTTTGACGTGCTAGGTTGGCAGGAGCAGGGACTGAGCAGCGGGAGCTCACCCCATCACGGGGATTCGAACTGCCAACCTTCCGATTGGCAAGTCCTAGACTCTGTGGTTTAACCCACAGTGCCACCCGCATCTTCCCTATATAATATAATCCACTATTAATTTTGGAAAATTACTTGCCTATGCATGTGGACGCCTCTTAAGATATTGTAACCATATTTTGCTCACTGGCACCTGAGGTCAAGGAGCAGGTTTTTGTCTAGGTTTGGATACAATTGGTCGCCGTCTTTTTAATCAAGATGGTGGACCGAGCCTTTCCAAACTGCATTGATTTTAATCACTGATTTCAAACCAGCATTGATTTTTTTGGTTTCTTAGAATTCCTGAGCAATGCCAGTTATGAGGCTGCTAATGTATAATAACAGTGACCTCATTTTTAATAGTAGATCCCATGTTTCCCACAACAAGAGGAAGGAGTCAGCAAACATACTTGGGCAGAGAGCAGAAGCAGTGTTTTTATAAGCACAAAAGGTGGGGGGGGGCTAAAAGCGGGGGGTGGAGAGCAGACCTTTAAACACCTCAGTGAGGACTGAGCATACTCACTCAGTGAGCAAGAAGTGCTGACTCGCTGCTTTTTTGGTGATAGGAATGGGGAGGAAAACCAGAATGAAAAGGGAATGGAATGGGATATTCTATAATGGGACATGGCTGGCTGGCTACAGGCCTGCACAGGAACAGTCTAGACTACAACAAAGGCAGGCTTTCCAGCCAAGAAGCTTTTATTTCATTCACTGACCCACCCTGCGTGGGGGATTACAGAAAACAGAGGCAGAACATTTGCAAACACTGCTTTTTATCTTGCATGGTTTATCTTCCTGGACCATCTTCAGCCAACTTATTGAGGTTTGCCACTTCAAAGGGTTGACAGTCCACACCTGAATTTGCTGCGATTCAAGAGGTGACATCCTGAAGACCAGGGAGCGACCTCAAATGATTCCTGAAGTTGGGTGGGTGCGTGGGATGCTTCACACAGGATAGCATGGCATTAACTGAAAGGCTCACAGAAACAAGAGGTGGGTGGTCATCTTCTGGGACCTTGGATGACAGATTTAGGATGCCCATCGAGGG